TCCTACAGATTTGTAACATACACACTTAAATTACACAATGAAATCACACTGTATATGCTTTCTGTAACAGATTATCAGGTCTTCATATTAACAATTTCATGATGTTCATGGTATGTTCATTACAATGCTCCATACTGTTCATTATCATCTCAATGGCTGTGCATGTCATCACGTGGGTGTAATACTATTGATACACAGCCTTATATTATTCACATCTCAGTCGATTAACTTTTGTTATTGTTTTTATTTTAAAAACAAACACTTTAATGAACATTTGTGTATATATATGTTGGCACTTGAGTAAGAATTTCCTTAGTATAAATCCCTAGAAGCAGGTCAAAGCAATGAACATTTTTAAGGTTTCTAATGTAGTCTGTGGAGAGGTTATGACAAACTGTTGTCCCACTAGCTGTGTACCAGTATGCCATACCCCCTAACCCTCTGTGATGCTGTATATTTTTATTCTATTTAATCATCATCAATCTCAGCAGTATCAGAAAACGGTAGCTCTTTTTTTGTCCTAATTCAGCCTATTCCTTTCAAGCTAGATTCAACACAGACTCAAGCTCCAGCCCAAAACTTGAGGAAATTTGGATCTTACGCTAGCCATTTTTACAGACTATTTCTTTGATCTTTTTCTTTCCAAGTTTCTCTGTTTTCTGCCTTACTCTCCCTTCTTAATGCCCAGCATTTACTTCAGAAAGAACCCAAGAAGGTAGCTCAAGATCTAAGTTTCCTGACTACCTCTCTGCTCAGAAGCACAGCACCGTGGAGCCAAGGGAACAGACTGTTTCCCAGTGTACCCACCTCATGCAGGTCCTAGGAAAAGAGACCCAGGCTTCTTGGCACTAAAAGCTCTCCAGACTGAACAATGCACAGGCAAGCACAGGTCTGCAGCCACCACCTCCTTGCGGGTCCTTTTATTTGGAATAATTACCTATTTTTATTTTCTGTTTTTGATTATCCACTCAAAACTTACTACTGGTGATTTTGATAATATTCACTCATTTTCCAGAAGATGAAGCAGTAGGGCTGAAGGTTAAATATTTTGCCTCACTTGGGGACTAGATAAAGGGTTTCTCCTTGGCAGGATGCCCTTCCACAAGGACAGCTGCCCTGGGGTTGGGGGGAAGGTGAGGCTCACCGGTAAGGTGGGACGCTGTGACTTCAGCTTCATTTCCTCAAAGATCAGCAAACTGGATGGGTGTTGAGACTGCTCGAGGGGACCCATGAGGACCAGGGTGGCCAGTTGACGACTCTTACCTCAATTACCTATCAATAGACACGAACTGGTTAAATGTTAGAGCCCTGAGCCCTTGAACCTCCATCATGGGAAGATGGTTAAAATCCAAAGATGGGAGGACATGGCTCTCCTATCGTGTCAGAACTGAATCTAGAAGTTATTTTTCAAACAGGAATACAAATAAGCAAATGACAGACTTTAAAGAACTCTTCCAATATTAATAATATTAGAAACCACAGAATGTTTATAGTGGGACAGGTAAGGTCATTTGGGGGAAGACAATGGGGAAAACTTGAGTGAGAAGTCCCCCACCTGCCCCGTGATGCTTTACTGAGTTATTAGCTGAGGCAGGCAAAGCAAAGGGAGCAACGCAAGCCTGTAGGGGAATACGGTCAAGAAGAACAAGGTGTTTATGGTGATATGTTAACAACTGCAACTGGAAATCGAGGACTTTCTTAAAATTACTAAAAGAACATAATAAAGGAAGGGATGTTCTAGCACTGACATGGGCAGGAAACCCAGGTGTCTTAGGAAGTGCACCAGTGAATGCAGCTAAGAGGATGAATGGAGGAGGAGGGACCGTCGTAGAGCTGACTGTCTTAATCACACTTGCTGAAGAACTTCCTATTCGAATCACTACACAGACAGTAATGGAAGCTCTGTAGGAATAGGCCTAACAAAATGTGGAGGTTCTGTTCTTCATTCCCTCGTGTGGGTTTGGCCCCTTCTCAACTAATTCTCCTGTGATTTTCAGATATTTGGGGTTAAAGTTGTCAGAAATAGGTATTTGATCTGCTAGAAATTGGTACCATTGCAGTCAAGATTCTGAGAGGAAGTGAAGGCAAATAGATGAAGGAAGTGGGCCCCACCCAGAAGGCGTCCCTGATGGGCACATGTAGGCTTGGGCCTGTAGATGCCGTGGCAATTCCCCCGGAAGCTTGGCTCCTGCAGGAAGAGTAAGATACTCAACTAATTGACAACCGCAGATCCCCAACCTGCCCCCAAAACGGCCTCCAGGGGATCATGGCTCCTGTTTGGGAAGACAGCTGACCTCACTCTAGACCCAACCAGTCCCAGCTCAGCCTCTGCCCTTTTTCTTCACGACTTTGGTTTTCTCTGTCTGTGAGGTGCACACAGTGTACTTAAATCCATAGGAACATGGGAAGTTGCATTTCCAAGTCCCATGTACTGAAACAGGCCATGTTTGTGTGCATCTAAAGGTTGGTCAACTCTGACTTCTTATTTATATGTCACGATGTTTGGCCTTGAAACAAACAAGCATGTCTGCAGAGAGAAAAGCACATTTTAGCTTTTGTTCTCCCTGGCTGTCCCTGAGCAGATCGATAAACTCTGATTCCCTGCAAAGCTCCTTGTTGACGCTGTCATCAGGAATCTAGGACTCAAGCACCAGACATTAGCAAATTCCCGTGTGCTCCCCGGGTCTGTGGTCAGGAGACATACCTCCCTTCTTATCTTTCCTGGGCCAGGACAGCAGCCTGGACCTCAAGGAGGTGATTGCCACTGCCCATCTCGGGGAGCTCATTCATAGGGACGTATTGGTCCAGCCCCACTGTCTCTCATCCAAAAGGATGGGTGCTCAAAGCCGACAACTCAGCCTTTAAAGACATGCTGATAATTTACAGCCTTTTATGAGGCTCCACATTCATTTTTCGGAGTTTCTTTTGCCAAGTTTGTGTCTCACATTGGGCCTTTTCTCCTTAGGGTAAAAATATCCCTGTGCTGGCCAGGGCCCTGGCAGGTTCTCTGCTGCAACAGTGACACCTGCTGCTCATGACAAACTTAGTGATTTCTCAAAGGAAATTCTCCCTGGGGCCAAGACTGCTTTCAGATTTCCAACATCTGGAAGTACAGTGGGTCCAATTTTCAGGGAATAAGTACCTCCGCGCTGAACAACCAACATCGAAGGAGAGGCCCAGGACAAGAAGGCAAGAACAAAGAAGATAGGGTCTCCTGCATTGAAAAGCAAAGACATCAGGGAGCTCCCTGGCCTGACGCCGAGCAGCTCCCTGGCTGGCTAAGCTAGAGGTGGGCCTTGGCCCCGGTGATTCTGAGACATGCGTGTCATCAGTGGGCCCTCTGCCGGGGCACAGAATGCTCTGTTTCTGTCTCTGGAGGTCAAGCCCAGCCTTCCTTCAGGCAGACCCTGCCCTCCAAGAAACTGGTTTTTGAGGACGGACTTTCCTCCAGGAAAGGACCACCGGCCGAAGACTATTGCCCACACTCCTCAACATAGTGGGTGAAGAGGGATGTTCTCCTTCTTGGTCTTCCTTGCTTTGGAATAATGGATGCTCTAACAGGCTTGCCAGAGTTTATAAGACCCACATGTTCAAAGACACACATCCTCAATTTTTTTAAAACTCCAGAAATTGTAACAGGACACATTTATTATCGATGCCCATTTTCCATTTGCCTTTAATGTTTGGGAATAATTCTATTATTACTGATTTTAATTTCCCCTAACATTTTTTTTTTCTTAAATAGGCAACATGTCCAATGTGGAACTTGAACTCACCACCCTAAGGTCATGAGTCAAAAGCATTACTGAGTGAACCAGCCAGGCGTCCCAACTTAACTTTTAATTAAGGCAAGATTTGAAGTGTCTATGAAGTCGCAAATTCTTGCCTTATGTTCACGGAAGTAGACACATTTTTCAGTGACCTGTTCTCCAAATAGTTATGTAAATACTTTCAAAACGATTTTTTGTGTGTGTTCCAAAAATATTTCTCACCTACATGGGTATAAAGTTCGGCTTTTATTTTGACATCGATAGGGGATTTACCAAATAAATATGGCTAATACCTAGATGGAAGAGTTTCTGTTTGATAGCAGAAGTGCTGATCTCAAAGTTAGGAGCAGTGGGCAGTCGCAAGTGGGAGACTCTGTGTCCTCAGACAGGTGTCTTCACCTCTCCGAGTTATGTTCTTTATGTATCAGATCGAGAAGTCAGGTCATAACTCAAGAGTTTTCAATATTTTGAAGAAATTGGTTTTAACCCTTTTTGCACATACAAAAGAAAATCTGCATGAAAGCCTGATTTTTAAACTGAAAAAGGTGGGGGTCCTCACTTTTCCCCAAAGTGGCCTTGAGAAGACTCCTTGGAAGCCCAGAGGCCCCCATGGGACGGTTTGCCAAGCGCAGGCCAAGTGCCTTGCCCTGGTCTCCAGCCCCCACCACACCCTGCAGGAACCATGTCCCCAGGTCCCCATGTCTGCACCCCCGTGTGTAAAAGAAGGGGAATTCAGCCTGCTTCGTGGGTTACTGTGAGAATAAAGGGGGGAAGCACCGATGAAAATCTTTAATTAACACGAAGAGCTACACAGCTACAGTTGTAAAGTAAAAAGGAGAATGATAATTTACTTCCCCTGGTTCCCTTTCTCCAGCTATGAAGTGAGACATTGACATTAGGTGGTCACTAAGGACAGGTAAGGAACGTGGTCATCTTGCTTGCTCCTTCGTCAGCTCTGGTGCCAGCCCTGGCTCCATTTTCCAGCTGAAGAAGTAGGACCAGGAGATTCTGCAGGTCGACCTGCCGCACAAATGGGTCCCGGGATTCCCGGGCCGGCGTTCATGCCAGCCTCCCTGATCTCCCTGTGACCTCAGCCACACCCGGTAGCTAAGACCTCTGAAATTCTATGATTCTCGGAAACACCGTCCTCCCATCCTCGTAATGGAGAGCTGCGGCTTTGCTCGTGGCTGTGAAACCATAATCCACAGATTCCAACACACTGTGCGTTACCGCAGCGATCTGCGCTCCGGGAGCGTAGTAAGACACGAGCATCCTTCACACGCAGCAGCTGCACCACAGTCCCGGCTGTGCGGTCAGGCCGGCTCTTCAAGGTGTCTCTGGCACATCTTCTGGGACCGTCCTGACCCCTCTACCCCGGACGTGGGGGCTTCGTCAGGCTGTTGGAACCGCTTAGGGACAGGCTCTCGTTCCCCATCACACCTGGGCTGGATATTACAGCAAGAGTTCATTTTTGTTGTTGTTGTTCCCATTTCCAGTTTTCCTCTCTCGTTCATTTTAATTTCACTGATTCCCCCCTTATCACTTAATACATTTTCCTCATTATTGGCATCTGGGCTGAAGGCTGCAGTGCAAACACAGAAAGACCAAATCAAGATTAAAAAAAAAAAAAAAGAGCAAAATATTCCCATTTCAGATGGAGAAACAGATGGGGTTCTTGGCACTTCCGAGGATTTAAATTGACCCTCTGCACCACGCTGGAGGAAGACAGACTGTCACTGCTGACGAACAAGCACGGGAGAGCCCTGCTTTCCCTTCAAACATGCAGGAGCATTTGGAGTTCTTTTCTCTCAGCAGTGTGTGACGAGAAGAAACCATACGATTTATTCTGACTCTCTTGGGGTCTGAAAATGCAGCTGTGGGACCCCAGAAGTCCCTGAGGGCAGACTTCTCTCCCCCAAACCACCGTCGTGACCTGGACCCGTTGACCTTGGAGCCTGCCTTGCCATCTGAAGGTGGTAATAAAACCACCTGCCCCTTGTGACAACAGCAGGAAGTGGGCTAAAATGGCAGCAGACGTGCCAGCATGGTGCCCTGCACATAGTAGGTGTTCAAGACAGTTGTCTTTCTGCTTTTTCATACATGGCCAAAGACGTTCAGCTTTTTTGGAAGCTCCCTCTCCACAACTTTCTCTTTTTACAGCTGGTGAGGATGAGGACCAGGTGGGTGGCTCTGACCTTCCCTGGGATGACATTTACAAAATAAGCACTACCCATATGCAGGACAAGTGCAGTCGCCATCTGAGACGGGAGCTCCTTATTTTAAGCAGGTTTTGAGCTTGTCTGCAGATCTTTAAAATATGGGAATCTTGGACAACCTTTAGTCAGAAATCTTGAAGCTGCCCTCCTGTTCAGTTATCAAAGATGTTCCAAATCACTGTGTCTATCCATTTTCAGCTGTTCTAAGCACAGAGTGCTTTTGATTGGTATGAACTGTTTATTTTAACAATAATTTTAAGAATCTGCCTCAAAAAAATCAAACTATTCATGCTTATTCCCAAAAGCAACAAAAGCAAAAACAAAACAGAAAGAAAAAAAGAAAAGGTATAAGGCAAGAGTAGGTAAATAGGTTACAGGATTATTTGATGATAAGATCCTTCAGATCCGAAAAAAGGACATCCACTTGGGGTATTTATAAAGGAAAGTGTTGATTATCACAAAGGCCATGAAAGAAGATTACAAAGAGAAAAAATTACAAGAATCAAAGAAAAAACAGACAGGGATTACCGAGTGCACCTTTTTGGACTTTCTGCTAGACATCTTGTTTCTATGTTTCAAACCCTTCCTAGGTGCCTCACAGCCCACAGAAAGAATTCAACCTCCAACGTCTGACATCCAGGAACTTTTTTCATTAGATTTTCTTGACCTTTCTCAACTCAATTTTTAATAATTCCCCCTGCAGGTCTCCTCCATGGATTATCTACCACACCAAGCCATCCGTACTTCCTAGATTATGCCTTACATGTTAACTGGGACAATGTGTGTGCTCAATGTCTGGCGTTTATCCACACAAACAAAATCAAGTCATTGCATTTAAAAGTCGATAGCTTAATTAACAGAAAATCTCACTACTTCTAGAAGCAGGAGTAAAAAGAGAGGCTGAAACAGAAGAACCCATTAAACACCCATAAAGAAGTAGCTCCACCCTGGGCAGTGAGGCAGCTACACCTCTGTCTGCATGGGCTACGGCTATGTGCTCCATGGAGAAACCCAACCGGAGTCTCCAGACAGGAGTGAAAAAGAGAAAGAAGGTCGAGTATGAGGCTGAAGACAGAGGGAATTAAGTCACCATAATGAAGGGGGTGTCCTCCCAACTTCCTCTCCATAGTTCCCAGCACACCCCGGGCAACAGAGAAGAGGACACATTTCTGGAGAATGGGTGAGCCCAAGGGAATAGACAAGTACATAGCCATATCCATCTCAAGCACCAATCACCCTAAGTGAAGCTTGCCAATTCCTAAACCACACACAACCCTCCCCCAAAACACACACACCTTCCCATCAGATTTTTGTACTTGACTTTTGCGTCCAAGCAGAAAACCAAGAACAGTAGAGATTGGAGGAAAGCCTCTAGTAGGAAAGACAAATCAAAACTGAAGAACAAGAAAAGGAGGGAAACTGAGGCACTTCAATGAGCAGAAAAAAACTTTGAAATATATTTAATTAAACTCCTCAGAAAGCTAAGACATTACATCAATGAAACGAGTATGAACAGAGAAAAATAGAGCTCTTAGACATTAAAACTAAAATCTGTAAAATTAAGAACACAATAAAAGATCCAGAAGCTACATTTGAAAAAATCATGCAGAAACTGAGAAAAAATGATAGGAAATGGAAAATAGGAGACTATAAGAAATTAAGAGGATTCATCAGGGAAATCAAATGTATTAATCACAGAAGCTCCAAAAAGCATAAAGTAAATGGAAGGGAAGAATTATTAAAGGAATAATAAAAAGAAATGTCTTGGGACCAAAGGACTTCAATGGCCAACAGACACATAGAAACATGCTCAACATCACTCATCATCAGGAAGATGCAAATAAAAACCACCATGATATAATCACCTTACACCAGTCAGAATGGCTAGTACCAAAAAGACAAGAAATAGCATGTGTTGATGAGCATGTGGGGGAAAAAAAGGAATCATTGTGGACTGTTGGTGGGAATGCAAACTGCCACAGCCACTATGGAAAACAGTACAAAGTTTCCTCATAGTATTAGGAGTAGAAATACTATACAATCCAGTAATCCCACTATGGGGTATTTACTTAAATAAAATGAAAACAGTAATTCAAAAAGATATACCCACCCCTATGTTCATTGCAGTATTATTCACAATAGCCAAGATATGGAGCAACCTAAGTGTCCATCAATAGATGAATGGATAAAGAAGATATGCTGTGTGTGGACAATGGAATATTACTCAGCCATAAAAAGGAATGACATCTAACCATTTGTGACAACATGAATGGACCTAGAGGGTATTATGCTAAGTGAAATAAGTCAGAGAAGAACGACTATCGTATGATTTCACTTATATGTGAAATTAAAAGACAAAACAAAACAAATATACAAACAAAGAGAAAAAGACCCACAAATACAAAGAAAAAACTAGAGGTTGTCAGAGGGGAGGGGGTTGGGGGATGGGTAAAATGGGTGAAGGCGAGAGGGCGTTTGGGGTAAATAAGTCACAGAGATGAAAGGCACAGCATAGGGAATATAGTCAATGCTACTGTAGTAGAATTGCATGGTGCAGATGGTAGTTACGTTGTGGTGAGCACAGCATAACCCATAGACTTGTTAAGTCACTCTACTTTACACCTAAAGCCAACGTAACATGTGGCAAGTATACTTCAATTAAAAAAGAAAGGAAGGAAGGAAGGAAGGAAGGAAGGAAGGAAGGAAGGAAGGAAGGAAGGAAAAGAGCCAAAGGACTCTGGTTCCTATCGAGTGACCATGGTTGCCTGGATCACAGTCCCCAGACAATGGGTTTGTCCTCAGAAGAGAATCTTGTGAATCTCTTTGAAAATGTGATTAAGGTAAGGCCTTTGACATGGGGAGAGTACCCTGGATAATTATCCAGTGTGCTCTAGATACAATCATTTGTTTATGTATAGGAGAGAGGCCAAGGAGAATTGACACCCTCAGGAGAGAAGGCACCATAGCCCCAGAGGCAGAGATGGTGTCTGGTACAGCCACATCCAGGGAAGCACTGGCAGCCACCAGAAGCTGGACAGGGCAGGGAGCAGGCTATCCCCTAGAACCTCTGGAGGGACGGCCCTGCCAACACCTTGATTCCAGCCATGGAAACTGATTTCAAACTATAAGCCTCCAGATCTTGAGAGGGTACATTTATTTTGTTTCCAGCCACCTAGTTAGCAGTGACTGCTGCAGGCACAGGAAACTATCAAACTGACCCACTAAATAAACAAGAAACATCACTGCAAAGTTACAGAATACCAAGCATAAAAAGAGGAGACTGAAAGCTTCAGAGGGAAGGAACACATCTTTAGAGAGCAGGACTCAGATGGGAATCACAACGACAATTACTACACCCCCATGCAAACATTATCTGCAGAATCTAGTGTTCTGAGATTAACATCATCGCTGATCTGGTATTCTTTATCCAACCAAAACAAAATGTTAGCCCCAATAACCGTGTTTTTGACATGCATCCCACTAGATGACCCTTTTATGCACATTCTTCTCAGAAAGCTACTGGAGGATATGCTCCAACAAATGATGGAGGAGATTTCCAACGAAAGGGAAAGTCATGAAGTTTAGAAAGAAGGAGAGCCAACTTAGCAGTAGCACAGTGGAATCAAGAGATACCCTAAGTACTGGGTGATAATTACTGAGACTGTGACTGTCCTTTCAGGGAGAATTATTACATGGTGCATAGAAAAAAATCAATTTTTTAAATAAAATACATGTGTGGTGAACACATGGTGTGCTCTGTGAACCTTCTTCTTCCATAGTATAAGTCAATAGAGAATGTTTTTAATTTTCAAAACAGAATAAATACATATTATTAGAAGTCTGAAGTTCTAAATCAGAAGAAATAGCAAAGAGTTTGAAGTATCTGACTCTGGGGGGCCTACGGAAAGCTTCATGGAGTCTACAGGTTTTCCTTAAACTGTTATTACTCTGATTTTTCTAAAACATACACAATTGCTACTGTGATTTTAAAAAGAAATGCAAGGGCTCCCTTTCTATAAATGTCCCTTTGTGAGTCCTAATCCAGTTTTCTATGTGGCAGTAATTGTGTGACGTATTCTCATATATATATGTCGTTAATCCTCACTGTTAAAATGTAGTTCACGAATCCAGTCACAGATAAAGAGACCAAGGG